ATCGAAATGAAACCAGATTTTAAAATCATTGTTTACTTCATTACTTTTCTCACTCCAGGAAAAAGAGTGCGTACGCATGGTCTAGAATGGCCGTACGGTCCGTACATATTCACGCCAAGTTTATTTTTTATAAATCCCGATATGTGCTTGGAAAATTGTGTATGCAATTTATATGCCCATTTTGTGCGTACGCAACGTTTATAAATGAGACCCCTGGACATTTCATTTTGAAAGTGTTGCGAAATGTGCAAGAAGTGCACTTGACAGAAATGTCACCCCAGCCACGTTTTCCCAATCAGCCTAAGTTGCATCTGAGAAATATTTACCCTGACGCCAACACAACAACTGGTAGACACAGATTTACAGCAAAAAACAACAACTAATAAAAATTTCAAAAAACACTGTGATAAGCAGCAGAATTTAGCAAAATATTTCACAAAAAAAAACATGTTCACTTCTACAAAAGGAAAACATTTCAGTGATGAAAAAGTGATGAATTTAGAATCGAGTAAATCATTTATGCATCCTCACAAAACGTTTTAACTAATGCATCAGACTTCCAAGAGCTACCTGAACAGTAGTTACTTGAAAAGCCAGAACAATTGCAACACAACTGAGGTATTGTCAAGCTACTGAATGTTTTCATAGCACCACTACTTGAACTTAGCTACTCCCCAACACTGTCAATGACGAGCTCTGCGCCCTCTCTTCACTGTTAGCATATGGCTAGCTCTAACAATTTAAAACATATGCTAAAGAAGGGAACAACAGAAAAATGCTAATGAACCAGCACTTGGACATCAAAACACATTTTACCTCTAGATACGAAGAAGTTATCAAAGCAAAGAACAAGGCAGCGAGAATGAGAGAACCAACAAATCACAACTCTGACAGTAATTTGCAGAGAGGCTAATTTTATGTGGCGTAACCAGCCAGGGGAGACGTTTGCTTTTAACAGGCAACTGTTGAGGGCTCAGAATCTGCACCTAAAGGAAAAAATGTTCTGAAAGCACCTGACAATTCATCTTACCGTGACAAGAACACACAAACATCAGGAGAGAAGAGAAGAGAAGAGAAGAGAAGAGAAGAGAAGAGAAGGTCCATAATTCTGAAGACACTAATAGACAAGAGAGTGTAAGGATTAAGTATGGGATAAACGACAGAGTTTGAGGTGAACATGTTACGAGGGATTTGAAGGGTCAGGTCAGAGGGAGTCCATTAGTCTAGAAAGTCTAGAGTGAAACAAATAATATGATGATTAAAAAACCCAACTGAGATGCCCAACAACGACAGACTCTGGAAGAAAATTACAGCAAGATCTCAGTAGTCCCAAATAAATGTACTCAAACATGCTGTCTGCATGTTATTTATTATCTGGATAGTCAAATAAATAAAAAAACAAACAAACATGACATTAATATTAGACATAGAGAATAAGTGAGTGTCCGTTGACAGGAGGAGTGTAACGTGAGTAAATAAGTGTGAGAGTGAATATGAATGAACAGAATCAGGAGGATCCGATTACTGAGTCTCACACTAAGGACACTGTTTATCACAGCCTGAAGCCATTTCCTGTGTCCTTGTACAATTATACACACCCTCCAACATCTCTAATACATCTAATAGACATTTTATCCCTGATAGAATAAATATCATTTACAATATAATACAGGTTCAATAATGAGGGATTTGATGGAATACTGTACGTAGGCCTATAAAGTTTCTGAACCAACATCCTATCAGCATACTCACTGTTGTGGCTTTACGATTATTATTTTTTTCGTAGAGTATTATTCCCTAGGTTTTTAAGATTAGTTTTTAAAAATATCTATAGAGACTCAGTTCTGTGTTCAGTTCTATTAAGTTGACTTAAGCTGTAAGACTTTTATGGGTTCTATGGGCAGTTGTGTAAGAAAATGGAAGCGAGGAAAAGAGAGATAGATGGAGATAGAAAGAAAGAACAGGGGAATGAGATTTAGAAGATAAAAACCGGTGAAGCAGATCATAACAAATCAGCCTCAGACCTGCATGGCCCACAAATCAATGACTTTAACACACCTGACACATGATACAAACCTATTCAACACCATAGACTTCAACTGTTTTATATGATGCTCACTGTAATTTCTACAGACTCATCATTTTAAACACTTAAGGATGTCCATGTGAGCCAACAAAGGGTTTTTTGTCAGATTTATCTCAATTTTGGCTACAATTGTGTCCCTGCTACTCGGCCCAGACAGAATCTGCTGTCATTTTTTGCATTTCTTTGTTGATTTTTGGGATGTGAGTTGTATAAAACTTGGTGCGGATTCAAAGTGGGCCTACAACCGACATCAATACATACCACGTACATATAACATAAGAACACAAACAGGTATCAAAAGAACAAGCTTTTGATATAAGAACACACATAGAAGTAATCAAAGCACTGACCTTAAAGCTCCAGTAGTTTGGCTGTTGCTATGGGAAGAGAGAGAAAAGAGAGAGAGAGCGTTACTTAGACATTTATCTCTGTGTGTGGTGACACCTCATACAGAGTCACCCTCTGCAGACATCTTTTGTGATAAAAGAATGTGAAGGAAAATATGAATAGAGACAGAAAGAGAGAGAATACATACAATTAAAAAACGTACTGAGCCGAAAACTGTTGGTAGTGTATAAGCAGCAATAAACAGACTTTTTACACCACATATGCTGAGTCATATGCAGCAATTTGCAGAGTAAAGATAGCATTAAAGCACATGGTGACACAGTGGCACATAATTCCCCTAGTCTGGTCATCATAAGGAGCTGTTCTGAATGGGCTGGCCCTCTAAATGAGTCTGCATGAAGGCTTTCTCTCATCCGTCCATCAGCTGCCCTGGCTGACTGACTAACTGACAAGATTGCAGCAAATGAGAAAAAAATTAATTAAAAAGATCCCCTCTGTGTCTATGCTTGGCCTGATGCCCAGATCTATCAATCATACTGAAATTGGTCGGCTGTCTGAAGCGCTCTCACCTATCTCTCCCATTTCATCTGTGAATTTCACTTTTACGGAGAGTCAAAGACATGCGGAAAGTCTTATATTGTTGTCTTTGTTTCTTGGTAACTTTCTTTACTTTCTCTGTAACTGTAACTCTTTTGTTGCAATTTTATTTAAAGAGGGAGGGAGGGAGAGAGAGAGAGAGAGAGAGAGAGAGAGAGAGAGAAGTAATTTAAATCACTGTCATTTCCACCATAGAATGATTTGAGATGTGATGGAAATGGAAATGACACTGTGGTGGAAATTATATTTTTAAAAATAATTCTTCTGTCATGAATGTATGTCCACTGTATTACTAGACAGACATTACATTATTAGAAGACAAGTTAAATAAACTAGTGAGTGTGAAAAGTGTGGTTAATAAAGTGGTTTATTTTCTTTATTCAGTTCATTAAGGCCACAGGGCCTAAAGTGCCCCGAGTTCCCATATATTCTTTGAATAAAACTCAAGACTGCTGCTAATTTGGTGAACCCAACCCTGATCGATCAAGACCTTTGAATATTTCATGGCCAAGTCTAGACTACATAGTTAGCTGATTAAAAGTGTGTGCGTGTACAAACATACATTTAGAGAGGAAAACATATTATAGCAAAAAACGTCAACTAAATATTTCCTTCTACACAAGGCCAAAAATGTTGCTGAACTCCCTGGAAATAGGATGTTGATGTCAATGGTGTATAATAGCTCACCGCTCATATAGCAGTACTTTAGCATTATATTTCTATTCTAAAATAATATTCTGTGTACTCAATCATCTGCATTCAACTTCGTGCCGCTCATCCTGGCAACGCCCAACTATGAAAAATACAAGCAGCACGAGTTTGCACAGTAGTGCTTTATTTATATTGAATACACACAAACACCACAAAGTTGAGTTTAAGACATCAGCATACACTCACTGCATCAGGGTCTCTCCAAAAAGAAAATACCTCATATACAAATATCATATAATATCTATATTTCAGTGTTGGTCAGAGTTCCTGTGTTGCTGACATCTGGAAAAAAAACTGGCCAACCCTTCTCAGATAATCCTGTGTTTATTCTGTTACAAAGCAGGTTTAACTGGTTTCTGCGTCTTGGCTGTTTTAATGATTGAATCTGCCCATCCAGACAGAAATGGGTCAGATATAGGGGGAAGGGCCTCACCTGCAGGGATTGATTCTGGGTTACCTGATGTCAGGTACTACTGAGCAGCAGATGGACCCATTGCTTTGTTCCCAGGAGGTGTTTACTGGTAATGAACTTCAGCCTAAAGTCAAGCCTGTTCTGGTACTGAACTTCTGCCTAAAGCTAAGCCTTGTGTGCAGTTGATGGTCAATCCAGGGGGATAAACCGTACTTTGGAACAGCTTTGAGATTTAAGTGCCTGCTCAAGGACGTAATTTTAAACGTCTCCCAGCAGCATTTTCAAACCAAAGCATTCTCATATAACGTGGGACATGATTGTCTGAAGCATGAAAGGAATGACAGTGTAGCCAGTCTATACATCCCTTATATTCAACACGCACACTCAAACTTTCACCTAAAATGTATATGTAAATTAAAGGTGCATTAAGTAATTTAAGTAATTTCATTTTCAGGATTCATTGGCCAATAAAAAAAGTGGACTTTAAACTGACACCTATCAGCATGGATACAAGGCAAAAAAACAACAACTCCACAAATGTTTTTAGAAACGTTCTCTCAAGAATTACATCCACATTACTTTATAATTTTTTTTTAATTATATCAATTAAATATTTATATTTTTACTGTCTTTCTATAGTTAATAATGTCATATTTAAAATATAAAATATATACAATTAAATGATGCGCATACATTTCTCTAAAAAGTAGTAATAAAATTTACAAAAAAGTAAATACTGTAAATAAAATTAAATAAAAAAGTAAATATTGTAAATAAAATTAAATAAAAAAGTAAATATATAAAAGTATATTTTTATATATATTTATTTATGAACCACATATGCTTTTAACGATCCCCCAAAATGAGATTCTGTCAGTTTTTGCAAACTCCTAGCAACATATCTCAGCAAATTTGTCTGAAAAGTATGGCTAAGTTAGAAACACACACACACACACACACACCTTCATGGCCATTTCAATTTGTGCTGTGGGCTCCGGCCAAACCACAAAGGAAGTGAAAAATTCACAGCAATGAAAAGTCTCCTAAATCATTTCAATGTGACAGCCCTAAATTTCTCTCTTTGACATAGCTTTTGATAAATAACTGAAATAACACAACTACCGACGCCATCATATTGGATCATAATTGAGGGGCCACTTCAGCGTCTTATGGATTTATGCACTGCAGGGCCGGTGAGCTGTGGCTTGGTGATGTTATTTTCCCATAACAAGCAGAATTCCATGGAGCAGTATGAGGCCAGCGTCCTCAGTTGCTTAGAAACAACTCTAAATGGCTGTCTAAGCAGCGGCTGCTTTTGCCAGCGGAAAATTAACAGCATGTTTAAGGGTTAATAAATGAAACGGGTGCATCTGAATGGAAACATTTAAAAAAGAGATAAATCATGTAAAACAGATTTCTTTCAGAATGCAAAGCTTCCTTCCCAAATCACCCAGGCAATTTAGGAGACTAAAACTCTGTTTACACCTGGTACTAACATTCATTTCATATAGACAACAATAAATATAGCTATAAAAGGGATTCAAATCGTTTTGTGATTCAATCACTCAAACCACATTTGGAAGCAGCTGAAAATGCTAATCCATCAATCTCATCCTGCCAATCATCCATTGGCCTAAAGTAAGTTTATTTTGACGGTTAAATAAAATAAGGGCGAAATCTTTGCAGAATTTGCCTGACATCAACAAGCAGCAACACAGATCACATGAAAAAAAGCACATACAAAGTACAGTTAATACAGTTACAGAAAATTCTGCTCAAAGCATTATGCTTGTGGTGAGATTAAAAAAGTAAATCTTATAATATTGTGCCATTTTATCAACAAGCACTGATGCTTAAAAAATGACTTATATACACTAAAAAAATTGGTGTTGAAACCATTTTCACTCAAAAAACCTGAAATAGTATTTTATTGTAGAATGTACTCCAATACTCTTTGTTCTATTTAAAACTTCAAAAAATCCGTTTTACAGTGTAGTCACAGAATTAGAGTCTTGAATACACATGGTCACGGGAAACACATTTAAAACATGTTGCTATCAGGTGTAAATGGCCTGACCAGTTGTGATAGGCACTGAACTCCATTGGCACATGGAAGTTAACCTATCAGAGGTTATTTACAAAACCTAACCTCAACCCTACAAAAGGTACTCTTAAAGGTACAGCAATAAACCCAGCTAAACTGCTTGCTGTTAAATGCTAAGAGAGTTAAAACTGGCATTGAAATATAAATTACGACTATAATCCTGCAATAATCCTTAACTATCTTTAATCAGGAGTACATAATGAAATACTTTAAAGTGGTCATATGATGCTTTTTTAAAGATCATTATTTTGTGTATTTGGTGTAACAGAATATGTTGACATGCGTTAATGTTCAAAAAACACATTATTTTTCAAATACTGTACATTATTGTAGGTCCTCTATGCCCCGCCTCTCTCAAACGCTTCGTATCGCATCATATGACCCCTTTAAAACTGTAATAGAGCATGTCCCCTTTAAATCCACCTCCTGCATGCATCAGAAACGTAGTGGCATTTGTTTGCAAGTCAAATGCCGCCATGTGCACCTATACATGAGCAATGAGCATTACAACCAATCCACCTTTATTAAAGCAAAAGCACATTCTCATGCGCACTAAACACAACAATCAAGCCTGAATACTATTGCATCTGATCCTGTGACCAGCATTAGTCTCCACCTGAGAAACATGTGTCAGCCCAGCAAGACGACATCCAGAGCCTACCGTAGCTATACACCACCTGACCTGCATGCAAAACAGCTCTTCCTTCCCTCACATGCACACACGCATACAAATACATACAGTCACACATGTTCCCTCTCACTGACGTGCAGATACACTCACACTAGTCACACACACCTGCAAAAATCAAACCCAAGTAGTGTCCATCTGCACGTAGTCACCACGTCAACCAGTCTCGCAATAACCAAACAAATGAAGCCGTCAGCGCAAATCTCACCTGCACCTGCAAGCGTGTGCGCTAGTGAGTGTGCGTCCTCCCTACACACACACACACACACACACACACACACACTAGCTAGATGCCTTCAGTCTTAGCAGCTGGCTGTCAGGTGAGCAGAATACTCATTCTCTTATTCCTGCCCTCTCTTTCTCTCTCCGGCACATGTGACGGCAGGTTCTTTATTTCATTCATTACCGCATCGGCTGGCTACTGGCTGCTGCTTTAACTCTTCCGTGCTGGAGTCTCTGGTAGAGGATAATTAACTCTCCTCCCGCCAGTTTACACACCGTTGCACTCATCTGTCCCCTCTCTCCCTCTCTTCTTGTCCTCCTCTTCGCCTCCCCCTTTCCATTATTCCACCACGGCTGCAGATAGGCAAATAAATAAGGAGGAATTCCTGTGAAGCGTCTTCCTTCAGAGGTGAAGATATTCTGAAACCCTTCCCCTTTTTCTCCGCTGTTTTTTTTTTTTTGCCTTCTCTGTCACTCTCTCTCTTTATTCCTTGTTCTCTCGCCCTCTCTTTCTCTCCAGCCTGACCTTTGCAATATGATATCACCAGTTTCCATATAATGGCGGTGTTGCCTTGGCAACCATAGACTCCACCTGTCTCTCACCCAACCACCCCCTCTCTCTCTCTCTCTCTCATTTGATCCTGTCATCTCTCACACGCTCGCTGGGCATTAATGTCACACTCAGGTATATACTGTGATGAGAATCACATACATGAGGATGAAAGAGCTGTAAAATAGATGATGAAAAGACAAAGAGAGACTGTCGAAACAGCCCTGCTGAAAAGACTAGCTTAGACCAGCATGAGTTTCCATGTTTATGCTGGTTCAGTGCTAGTCTAGGTATTCGACTATCATAGTCATGTTGTTCGCCAACAAAAAATGCTCATTGACCAATCTACTTAAAAGAGTAGTTCATACAAAAAAGAAAATTTGCATCATTTATTCATGTTGTTTTAAATCTGTATGACTTTCATACTTGCACAAAATGATTGTACTGGCCATTCTAGTCAATAAGAGTAATGTAGCTTTCAAGCTTCAAATAACGATTTAAACTTTAGTCATAAGAACTACTTTTATGGTGCAATGCATCTCTTTTAATGTCGTCCATTGTTACTGCATGGATGAGAGCAACAGAGACTAGTGATCGACCAATATATAACCTAGACCAATTAATTAGAATTTTTTGATTATCGCCATCAGCCTCTACGTTTTTCTGTCCACAAGTGACCAAAGTAGGACTTTTATTTTGGCATCACTGAAAATCCAGAACCTGAGCTCAGATGCACAGGAGCTCCCATTTTCCATCTTCATTAGGTTACAGTGTTTTTTTTAAGCAAATTATTCAGCAAATACAAATTTGTGTCTTTTAAACGAGTCATTGAATATCTAACAAATATTTAATTTTACAAACTGTGTTGGTTGCAGTGTTTATTTCCTATAATGTTTTTAACAATTTCATTAGTTTGAATCAGTTTATTTTACAGGTTTGTCCATCAAGTTCAAAAGTCTCTTTTTCAACACTCATCCCTCTAAAAACATAAGCGCAGGAGGATTTTGAAAGGCTTGAGCGTAAACTTGTCTGTTATACCTGGTGTCTCGCTCTCTCTTTTCATGCACACAGCTGATTGGCTGATACTGGTTTGATGCAGTGACATCATCCATATTTGAATGCAACATTACGTCACCCTCTTCCATAAGAACCAGTTGTAGTGATGGGAAGTTCGGATCATTTTACCGACTCGGATCTTTGAGTCTCGTTCAGCAAAATGAACGAATCTTTTTTCGAGTCATTTCGTTCATTTTAACAAAATATAATTAAAATGTTACGTGTTACTTCCCTAATATGTCTACTACTTACGCAAACGTTGATCACACTACAAACAATACAAAACTGCTATAAGAAACAGAAAAGATTAATTAATTGTTGACCTGAGTCTTCAGTCTATCGATTAGCTCACCACCTCTTATCTGACAAGTCTTGGGGTTTGGGCTTATGGGGCTGTCACGTGATGAACGAACGACTCAAACCGCCGTTTGCATATGTGGACGGTAAAAGGATTTCTGCCAAAGATCAGTTAGGCTGAATGATGCCATCAAAGTTTCAGTGCAGCGGATGACCTTCTTGATACCCACGGGTAAGCACGAACTGCTCCGGGGTTTTTTGTTTTCTTCAGATAGGATGGACAGACTGTGTAGTATTCAGCTAATTGGAGTCTGGAGCTAGAAAATGTAGAGATACCGTTACTTTTTAAAAGCTTATTTCACGTGCTGGATCTTCAACTCCATTCTTAAATTTTATTTTGAGATTTAATCGTTTAGGAAAATTTTCATGAATACGGAATATTTACTTTTGAAATTGAAACCATCCTTTGCTGTCGATGAGACTGAGGGGACTGCTTTTGAAGAAGGTCCTAAATCATTATGGCTGAAAGAACGAAAGTGAGAGAGAACTGTCATTAAGGGGAAAAGAAAACAAAACAGACTTTTGCTCATGCCCTTATACTTATTATAATTTCTTTGTTGCAGAGTCAAGCGAATTATCGCTTTTTTGTCTTATTGTAGTGAAGTTTCTTCTGTTCTAATTGATATCGTGTTCTATACCTAGTTCTTCAGGTATTATATTTTCATTTTTATGTCTTTGTCTTTGTTTTCTTTAAATGCCAGGGGTTTGAAAAACAATGTTAAAAGGAAGGCTTTATTTTTGTTTTCTAAGAGGCACAAAGTAGATTTCTGTTTTTTCCAGGAAAGTCACTCTACAGCTAAAGACACCAAATTATGGAGGTCACAGTGGGGCAATGAAATATGGTTGTCACACGGGTCAGAATATTCTGCTGGAGTACGGATTATGAAGTATAATTTTAACGGTCGTATTCTGGAAACCAGTATTGATCCTTCAGGTCACTTCCTGCTAATAGTAGTTGTTGTTAACCAATTTATAGTAATTATTGTCAACATCTATGGATGTTTGTATTGTTTAATAAAAAAAATAAATAAATAAATAAAAAAAAAAAAACAGTTGTTCCATTCACAGAATGGCTGCTGTTTCGCTGTATTCTAGCATGCAACTGCCTGTTTTCTACGGTGATTACAAAATGTTTCAATGATATTTTGACAGCTTCTCTACAAGCTGTGTGAAAGCTGGGGAGATATTATGTCTATGCCACCAGTGACTGAAGAGTTTGTATGTACTGCAGGCACTATAGCCTTGTTCAGACTGTCAGCCTAAATCCGATTTTTTTGTGCATATCCGATTGGAATCCGATCTTGATGACTGACTGTCCACACTGTGTATCTCGCAACTATTCAAATCCGGTTTGTGTGTCCCGTGGCGCTCTTTCGTTTTACTGAATATCTGCATTGGTTTCTATGGCAATGCCGTTGCGTTGTTATGCCTGCGCTAAAAACAACAACAGCAATACAGTTTGCAATACAGATGTTGTCTTACAACATGACAACTTTTTGCCGGTGTTGTGCCCATTTTCGACTCCCTGCCAAATTATTACCCCCCTCGTTGAAATCGCTACCTGATTGCCTAATCCTAACCCCACCCCTAATCCTAACCCGTCCCCCACACCTAACTCTAAACCTACCAATACTAGGGGGTAATAATCTGGCAGGGGTCAGAATTTGGCACTACACCGTCCCGGCTGGATTATATTTTGTTTTATGAGGCAGCGGCAGAAACACAGGAAGCTGGAATGTGCGACTTCATTCCGTGCTGCCGTCTCCGCTGGTTTCAAAACTCAGAGTTGTGTATACTAGCAGTATATTGTCTTTTTTCCGCTTGACTTGCTCTTCGCAACAGCATAAGCATGTTTCTGCAAAGACGTTCAGCATGTTCACTACAAAAACGTCTGACGTGTTTACGTTTTACGTGGCGTGAGAATGTGAAAAAGCTACGCTAAATCCGATCTGAGTGGTCATATGTGTCAATGCCTCCTTCAGAAGACCTCTCAGATAGGTACAATTTCAAAGTCCCATGTTGTGCATCTTTTGTGTGTAAGAGTGTTTCGATGCATGCATAATGTAATTTACACAAGCAGCGTATGTTCCTGAATCAATGTCCTTTTGTAGTTACTGGAGTAACACTCCTATTAACCAGTCAGAAGCTTAAGGATGTTGCAAGGATGTTGAACCAAGAACCAGTCCTATGTGTGTGCAGTTTTCAAAGTACATACACAATATTAACACTGATGATAATAAGAAATGTTTCTTGAGCAGCAAATCAGCATATTAGAATGATTTCTGAAAGATCATGTGTCACTGAAGACTGGAGTAATGACTGCTGAACATTCAGCTTTAACATAACAGGAATAAATTACATTTTAAAATATATTAAAAAAGAAAAGTTAATTTAAATTGTAATAATTTTTTAAATATTACAATTTTTACTGTACTTTTAATCAAATAAATACAGAGTTGGTTAGCATAAGAGACTTCTTTCAATAACATTAAAAAACGGTCAACATCACAACATCATCTCTAATACAACATCAACTTATTAAACAACAGACTGAAAATATGTTAAAAATAGCTAAAATAAATAAACATGTAGTGTATTTACAGAAGTCCATGAATATAAATTACTGTATTTTCAAAAAATAAATAAATAAATAAATTAGAATAACAATAGTGTTATAAACATACATAAAAAAAAACAAATATATAT